TTTTTTTTTTGGATACTTAATATTTTAAAATGACAATATTTTGTTGTCTGTCAGATCAAAAAGGTCATTCACTGACAATGCTGTATAGAAGTGATTATGAAGTCCTTCCCCTTTGGTTCAATTATATTTTATATTCACTTTATTTTCTTTTCATTGAAAAAATTATTTGATTTGACTTGTTTTGATTTTTTTGGTACTGAGCATAGAACTCAGGACCTTATGTTTGCCAGGCAGATGCTATACTGCTGAGCTGTATCCCCATCCCTAAATTTCAATCTAAGAAGAAACAAGGCGGGTTTTGTAAAGAAAGAAACTACTGAGCATGGTGGTGTACATCTCTAAAGATTTACATTTATAATCTAAAATGTGAGTTGATCGTTTACATTCCCCACTGAGTTTATCTGGGAATCAAGTCATTGATTCAGCTAAAACTCGCAAGTTGTTATAATTGTCCCAGGAGCATGAGGGGTTCATAGTTAGATCTCAGCACCATCAACTTGATGGTCCAGATTTTTGGAACATACTCAGTTAAACAGTTTATAAAACAGGGCCATATAGAGCCACGAGAAAAAGGAGAACAAGTACAATTGAGGTAGGTATAAGGAGGCATTGAGAATAGTCTCTAATTTTTTTTTTTTTTTGACATCTCTCTAGCCAATTTTTTTTTTTTTTTTTTTTTGGCTACGTTACACGCCAATTGTTTTACATGTTATTCTGTTATTTTACCAAAGAAGAGGTTTTTAATAACACTAATCAAAACAGATGTTTAAATCTCTCAAGTCTTATGTACTCATGACCCTTTGTGGTGATGTTGTATCAAATTATTTTGACATGGAGTCACCTCTGCTAATCTATTCAGACAGCAGGGAACATTAGTTAACAACAGAGTCTGAGTAGGTGGGTTTTTCTAGAACTCTAGAACAGGCAATGTCTCCCATATCCCCACTGGTTTTTGTGCCACCTCTTAAGCTGTAACATCAGCCAGGCAGTTTCCCCTTTTGTCTTGAGATCTAGTCCACAGTGGGTAGCATCCATCTCTCTCAAGCTGTAAAGTCACTTGTCTTTAACCTTGTCTCCTTGAGGGCCCAGCCCTGTCTGACTGTCTATAATATTTTTAATCTAACTCAGCTGCCTGCAGCATTTCCCTCTGAATTAGTAACCTGGACTGCTGTGAGGGTGTATGGGCGATGACTGCTCTGGCTACTTTACGCTGGAATGGGTCGCAGTTGTTGACCGGCAGTCAGAGACTCTCCAGAGGTTTTATCTAAAGGCCCTCAATAGACACCAGGCAATTTTTATCTTGGGTAGGCAGAATGGCTTTAAATTTGGAGGCAGAGCCAAAGAAACAATTAAACATGCATAACACTAGTCAGAACATTTTGTAGGTCCATTAGCAGAGATCTCTTAAATGTACGGTTTAATCTTTTTATCTTCCATGGTCATTGGGTAATGTCTCAAACAAACAGGCCTTTCCTATTATTACTGGGGAACATGAATTACCAGGCATAGGGAAAACACTGAATATTTTCTAGTTTGGTAGTTTGCAAGTGGGCCACTGGCTGGGTAACTACTGACAAATCTGTATGAGCATTTATTAACACTTTCTTTTTTTTTTTTTTTTTTCTCTAGCAGCTTTGGACATTTTTTGCTTGAAATGTCCCTTTTCTCAGTCTGGGTCTAGGGAAGCATAACTTTTTTTTCCCTGACTGGTCTTTTTTTTTTTTTCTGTAGGCTGCTAGTATCAGCACTCTCATTTTTCCTCTATAATTTTATTCTGTATCCTTTTTACTATGAAACACCTCAACTCAGACAAATTTATTCCTGCAAACCCTTCTAACTTCTGCAGCTTGTGTCAGATATCTGGGGTCCACTGAGTAAGGTACAACTTCTTGGTTTTAAGACCTCGTGCAGGTAGGCCTTAACAAGGATCACAAATTAAACTTTCCTCGTGATGAGGCAGGAAGCCCAGAAAAGGCTCAGATCACCTGGGCTCTATCAGGTGGACAGTTAGTTTAAGCTTTAATATGTGTCTCTATAGACAAAATCTGGTGGATCCCAGTAAAAGGAATCTTATTCTAGCATATTTGTTAACAGATTTTACCTGCATGATTACCTGGGTTTTGGTATCTTCTAGGACAGAACAAATATTCTGAGAAATTACATCATGTATAATCAAAGCACAAGCATTTGAGCTAACAGGTAAATGTATAAACTTTGAGGCTAGCAATCATAACGAACTAGATTTTAGACCCCTTTATTTATGGAGTCTGACAGTTTGTTATAAGTCCCTCTAGCTTCTACTTATAATTATCTCTAAATTTTGAGAACGTATGAAAACCAGATTAATACCTTATTTTTTACTGTCAATGCTTTTAAGTAATTTAAGTACAGTTTGGCATATTTTATACCTGTGTTTGCTATCAGCATAAAGTACCTGAGTTATCAGAAATAACCAGGCTAACTAAATACACTTATCATGAAATACACAGTATTCAGTCAGATTAAGCCAATGTCCCATTCAGTTTTGGATATGGCCCCTATTGTAAGCAAGGGGCACTATAGAGGGATTTATCTTTTTAACACTGGCCCTGAGTATTGTGTTCTAAAGACAAGGCTTGGCTCTACCTATAGGCCCAAAGCTATTTGACACTGTAGTCAGTGTCTCTAGAACTTTTTTACACTGACAGGATTTTATCTGTACATGAACAATATATCTCAATTACAGCTTAAAACAAGATGACGATGACTGGAATGAAGGTCAGGGATGGAGAAGACAGAGACCTATGCCAATATCCAGCAATAGGCTGGGCTTTTTCCTTTAGTCGTGATTACTCAGGGCTCCTCCATGGAGATGACAGGTAGAGGTAACAGTCCAGCCAGAAGGAGGAGGCAGGCCCAGTGCCCTTCAGTCCTACTGGACCATCTGGGAAGCTGAGTCTGAGCTCTGGGGCCTCTGCCTCAGAGTGCAGTCTCACTTCTAGTGGCTGCCTTAGCAGTCAGGGCATGGCTGTGGGCCTCTTAAGGCAGTCCCTCTTCCAGTGGCCTGGCTTCTGACAGCAATAGTAGATGAACCTTATCATCGTTGAGCTCTTCTTGGAGCCCAGAGAATCAGACTTAGCATCTGTTTTGAGGCTGCAACAAAGGCAGCCGTTTTTGATCTCTTTTTTTTTTTTTTTTTGTCCCTGGCTTTCTCCCAGTTCTGATTATAGGACATTGCTTTCTTAGTTCCCTATAAAGTATCAAGAGTTGTCTGGAGCAAAAGCTATTTTTTATAGTTCTTTTCTAATATCTGGAGCTGCCTGTAATTAGCTTATTTATAAGAGTAATCTGTCCCCCTACTGAATTAGCATCTCAAGAAGTTTAATGAAAAGCTTTACCAGCTTTTCATTAAACATTTTAAGAAATCAGAGGGGTGGTTATCTTTTTCCTGGTAAACAGCTGAAATTTAATAACTAAAGGCTTGGTTTTAGTTCTTTTTAGACCTGCAAGAATACATATAGAAAATATTTTTTATTACAATCTCCTGCCTGGCTATTAGGCCAGCAGGGGTCTGACTGCTTGGGAGCAGGTAGTTCCTGTTACAGCTAAACCAACATAGACTGGCTGTCTATCTTCTCATTGTTTAAAATTAACAATATGACATTTATCTCCAAATGAAATATCAGCTTGTAATATTGCCTGTCTTTTTATAGAAGTCAAAGCTTGGTTTCAGATTAACATTACATCTTTTCAATCTAGTTCATAAGTCTGAATAAATCCTCTAAAGACATCAATGTACTTATCAGGGTCATCTAAAGATTTTTTAAATCTGACATCTGTTTTAGGTCACAGAGAAAAAGGCACATAACTCTGGAAGTTCTAAACTTAAACTGTCTTTTTACTTCTTTAAAAGATATTATCTTTGTGGGGCTGGTGAGATGGCTCAGTGGTCTAAAAGCACCTATTTAGAACAAGCTTAGCAAAGCAC